ATATATATATATAATATTATATTATGTTATATTAAATTATTATATTAATATAAATATATATTAATTAAATTAAATATAATATAAATAATATTATATTACATATTATGTTAAATTATTATATTAATATATATATATGTTACCACATGGAAGATTACAATTATAGAATGTCAAGATTCACATGATCACGTGGTGCACATATACTAATTATTAATAAATAATTTTAATATTAATATATAATTAATATAAAATTATATATATTATTAATATAAAAATAAATCCAAATATTCCTAGTTTATTTGTTATTTGTTGACATTTCACCATGTGTGAAGATTCACATCTTGACATTATACAATTTCAAACTTTCATTATAACATATATATATATATAACAAAATACAGTAACAATAAATTTAAACAACATATAAATTCATTCTAAAAAAGTATAATAATACATATATATATATATATATAGAAATGTTATTTCTGTCTTGACAAAGTTTAGTTGAAAGGGGAGTATGAACATTTTCATGAGCATCACGGAAATGAACGGAACATTTAAAAGAGTCAGTCTGAGAAAACTCTTTATCTCTTTCTCATTCTCTTAATATATATATCTTTTGGTGTATGTGTGTGTGTGGTTTTAACATACATAGTTAGTTCATCTACTTTTAGCCAAAGCTGATTCTCAGCTCTTGCGCACCCAGCAGCATCTTTTAGTTCTCTGGGAATCAAGCCAGCCTAAGACGAAGTACGATACGCATTTCCGATTCTAAATTTGTTGTCCCTCGTTCCGGCTAACTTGACGTTCTAAGGCCACCAACACTAATACAAAAACCAACACCAAAACCAACACAATTCATTCCAGGCACATTTATATCTTTTTCAATCTTATTGTCTTTAGCATTTGAGAGAGAGAGAGAGAGAGAGAGAGAGAGAGAGAGAAATGTTTTTATATATTATTAGATATAAAACGTGTAATAAATAAATTGAGGAGATTCATTTTTGATGCAACTTAAAGCAAAATATTGCAAGAATAAATGAAATACGTTTAAATCTTACCATTAATCTTCGCGTTATTGCATAAAACAACTAAATCATAGATTAGATAGGTGAACTATAGTATTTTTTGTTGATATATTCACAGACTCGTTGGTTCATTACGGGAGAAATCGAAGAAAGCTGAGGAAGATCTTAAGGAACTCGAAAATCTCGAAAGTGAAATAGAAATCTTACGTGAAAATTTGAACGAGTTAAAAATTGGTGTAACAAATTTATACGTATTTGGTGCAGATCAGGATAAAACTGATAAACAAGTTAACGAATTGAAATTAAAATTGGACGATTTGTTAGATAAATCAAAGAAATTGAGTGTTAACGTTAAGGCGCGGTATCAAGTTAGTCAGCAGTTGGTACCAACCGATTTATCCCAGCACTTAACAGCTCTCGAGCTTTGTGCCGAGGCTAGTGCACAAGCTATGGATGAGAAACAGAGAGAATTTAAACGTGCCAGGACCACTAGGTCGGATTATTTGACCGACGTAGACGATGTTCAGGCATGGGTTAGACAAGCTGAGATTAAAGTGCAAGATAGATCAGTAGAACCACATGCACTTAGGGAAAGTTTACGATTGATACAAAATGAGCTGGGACCTATCACCGATAAACTCGAACGATTAACGAGAAATGCACGTATAATCATCGATAATACGCAAGACGACAACGAAAAGGAATTAATCGATAAAACTGTTAACGATTTGAAAGAACAATTGGGACAAGTTAGAAATTGGTTAGATGAAAAGAGACAAATTGTTGGTGACACGTTAGACGCTTGGCAAAGGTTTTTAACACTTTACGATGCTGTCAGAGCATGGACCGAAGAAAAGAAACAATTTTTAACAGAACCGTTAAAACTCAGTACTCTCATTCAGGCCAGACAAAGACTTCACGAATATTCGGTACGTGTTAAATGGGAACCGAAATAGATTTTAGATCTTTCTCTCTTTCTTAATACAAACTCGTACTGGTTAGGAATTCGGTTATGATAATCGTACAGTTTATATTGTCACATATTCGTTTTACAGACCGCTGTTAAAAGCTGTAAACAGGTTAACAAAAATCTAAGCGACATGGCCAAAGAATTAGACAACATTCGTCAGGTAACAACCACTGGTGATTTACCTGAAAAATTTATTGAAGCTGAGGAAGCTAAGATACACGTTGAAGGACAACTATTGGAAAGAGTTAGTTCAATATTTTCATTATTTCTATTCATTTAGGAGACTTGTATTATTTAAGGGAATATTAGGTAGTAATTTATAGGATTTGATTTGATTTAAACAAAACAAAACAAAAAATCCCCCTTGTAATTTTAGAACGCATTGCTGCAAGAAACTAGCGAGGAATGGGAACAATGCGAAAGAAAGATGAAGGAGGTTAAAAGTTGGATGGAAAAAGCCAAACAAATACTCGAATCACCGCAAAATAAGAAAAAACCATTACACGATCAACACGCAATTAGGGAAAAAATGTTGAGCGATGTTACCATACAAAAGACAAAAATCAAAATATCCATAGAAAAATTACGTGTACATTTTAGATCAGGTATAGGTGGTGACAAAAAGATATCCGAAATTGCTGAAGAATTATTAGCGGAATTAGATGTCCTTTATAAAACTGTAACTGAAGAGACTGCATCATTGGAACAATGTTTGGATCAGATTGATCAATATCAACAGGTTAGAAACACTCCAAATTTATGATGACGGGTCTGTAAAAATAATACGGGTTTAAAGCAAATTATTCTACGTTTTTTTTTTTTTTCTTTTTCTTTTTTCATTTCAGGAAATACAAAAATTACGTCAAAAGGTTGTTCAAGCGGAACAGCAACTTAGGACAGTATTAAGCCCAACGTATTTACCTAACAACAGAGAAAAAGCTTTACAAGAACAACAGGTACGTTTTAAACTGATCACACGTTATATTATATATATTATATATATATTGTTTTTTTTTTTTTTTAAATTTTTATTATCGCACAAATATCGCTGAAGTAGTAGGCAATTATTATTATTATTTATTGTACGCTCAATTATCATCTATAAGGGGGAACCAAACAAAAAATCAAATTTGAAATGTGGAAATATAATATTCTCGTTTCTATTTGTGCTGAAATATTTCATAAAACATCTCATCATATATCCATCATATCCACCATTTTTAATAATCATTATTATAATACCCCTTGGATTTAGATATAATATATATATAACCGTTTTTAAATTATATTCCATATCCGTTTAATCAAAAAAATTAACATTTTTAACTCGTAATTTATATTACCAACTAACCGTCGATCGAGCAAACGATTTTTAACCAAACACGATTTTGATGTTATATATATATTTTTTTTTTTTTTTTGAACTACTGAATTATGCGATGTTATTTTTACTTTTTTTATTTTGATAAAAGAAGGAATTTTGTTGTTTTGTCTTTTTTATTAATTGCATAAATCAGTAGTGATGAGCAAAAAGTGGAAATTTAATTTATTTGACTTAAAATATTGTAGATTCGTAATATTTTGTTATTGAAAAATTAAATTGTATAATTATGATTCTATAAAATTAAATTTAAATTTATATATTTTTTTTTTAAATTTATATTTTATATTTTTAATATAAATTGAATTAATAAAATATAAATGGTATAAATATAAATATAAATTTTTAAATTATAAAATAAATTTATAATTAAAATAATAATTAATTAATAAATATAAATTTAAATTAATATATTTAATTATACTTAATATTATTATTATTTAATATATATTTAATTATAGTTAATTATATTTAATTTATATTAATATATTAAATATAATTATATTAAATTTATATTTTAGAAATTAAATATATATATTAATATAAATTTATGTTAATATATTTTATAAATTAAATATATTCTATTAATTTAAATTTGTATATATTTAATTTATAAAATTTTAAATATTAAATATATTAATTAATGTTTAATTTCAATGAAATATATTTCCACTTTAAATGGTTTTACCACCTTTCGACTTTCCATCCTACAATTTAATAATTAAAAAAAAAAATATATATATACTACTACTACTACTACTACTACCACCCTTTTCCCTATTTTTTTCATTACCTTTCATCGCTAAAAATCATCAATAATTGCCTTATAAAAATTGCCATATAAAAATTGCCATAATTGCCAATTTAGTGGTATATCATCGCTTATAATATAATTCTCTGGGTTGGTATCACAAAATGCAAATCGTATTGTTTTTTTTTCTTGTTCATATGTATATCTTATTTTTTATATATATATATATATTGTTCAACACAAATCAATATTTTATTATTACTATTAGTATTATTAATATTATTATTATTATTATTACCATTATTTTTCCAATATGTTTTATGTTAGTTATTTAAGTTTTCTACCTTCACAAATATACATATATATATATTTATTTAATAATATATATATATGTATATTTTAACTATATTATTATTTTTAAAAAAAGGGAGTTACTTGATTTTGTTTGCTTTTGTGTTATTTTTGGTTTTAAATAATTCACAAACACAAACACACGCACACACACACACAATGTACTTCTCTATATTTCACGTGTGTTACACGTTACACGTATCGCTATGCGTTTTAGGCGATTGTTTTATTTATGTCTTTCACAAACAAATTTTATGCACGCGTGTTTTCTCGTGTGTTTTGTATAACTGTCACTATATAAGCACTATAGGTAGAAAAATCCAAAAATTAATTAAAATATCACAAATTCTACTACATGCAAAGTAATAGTTTTTTTTTTTTTTATTTAAAACGGGAAAATTTATTTCAACTTTAGTAAACAGCACACACGTATTATATTATTATATTACACATATACACATGCACAAATTCACGCGAATTATGTGCTCAAAAACATTTGTATTTCTATTGTCAAAGAAAAAAGAAAAAAATAATTGCTTCAAAATGCAATTCACTTAGCAAATTATTGTTTGCTAAAAATATTAAGAAACATTCAATGAAAAAAAAAAAGAAAAAAAAATAAATTGAAAAAAGAAATTAAAACTAAAAATATAAATTAGGAAAATCAACAACAACAACAAAAAATCAAGTGACCTCTAAACTTTCTTCTTTCTTCTACTTTCTTCTTTCTTCTTTCTTCTTTCTTTCTTCTTTCTTCTTGCGTAAAATATTTTCTATGAAAACAAATTATAATGATGGTGTATGTTAAATTTGGAATTATTTACTTATGTTTCGTTAATTGTTTATATTATACTAAGCTGTTTTATTTTACATTATTTTGTTTGCCAAAAAACCCCATTTAAACCCATATTATTGCCAATTACAATCCTTTCAATCATAATCCTCCATCATGTGCTATATTCTTCTTCGGCTTTCACTATGATTCATCACAAATTTCCGCTTACCTTTATCGATTACTATATATTGGGTTAATTAATATCAAAAAAAAAAAAAAAAAATGAATAATAATAACCATAAAACTGTTAACATTTACCATTTTACCATTTTCTTTCTATTATTTTCATTCATCTTTGCCCCACCACCCCTCTCTCTCTCTCTCTCTCTCTCTCGCTCGTTCGACGTGTTATACGCGTATTTATTTTGTTTAAACAATTTAAATAATAAATAGATACATCGTGAAAATATTAAATCGTTACAAAGTAAAATCCAATCGTTTGTCGAAAGAACGAAATTGATCGTTCAAAGGGGTACACCTGACACAGAAATTTTAAATCTGTGACAATAAATTCAATCTTTTAGCATCAAATGTTCCTGTCTTCATCATCAAATTGCTATCAATTATCATCAAATTGAATTAATCTATGAAATATTATATAAGTCATTTCATATTGATTTGTCAAAATACATCTATCAAATTTATATATATTTATATATAAATATTTAAATAATTATTATTTAATAATTTTATAAATATATATATATATATATGTCAATAAGACAATTTATGATATTTTAATCGAAAACAATTTATGCTTAAGTGATTGTTAATCAACGTTATAATAATATATTTTCATCGAATAACGATAATTGAAAGTATTTCTGATGTCCACCAATCATATATACACACATATTTCAATTTGTCTAAAGATAATGATAATAATTATTGTTTAAATAACAATTTAAACGATATATTTGATAAAATAGAATAATAATAAATCATGAAATATTCATTATCTTTATTCAAAATGATAAATTTGATCAACTATCACGTTGAACAACGAAAATATTAGAGCTGCATATATTCCCTTTACCCCCACTCCCAAAATTAGGCCCCAAATATATAATATAATTCAAATGTTTAAATAATAATACAAAATTATCTTCATTTTACTCTTATATCATTATTTATTAATTATCTTTCGATACAAATAAAAAAAATTGCACGGTAAACAACGAAACACTTTTCCCCACCCTCAAAATTAGGCCCCAAATATACAATATAATTAAAATATTAAAATAATATCTTCATTTTATTCTCTTGTCACACATTATTAATTATTTTTCAATACAAACCAAAAGTTTCACGTTAAACAACTAAAATATTAGAGCTACATATATTCCCCTTACCCCCACTCCCAAAATTAGGCCCCAAATATATAATATAACTCAAAAGTATTTTACACTCTTGTCAGACATTATTAATTATTTTTCAATACAAACGAAAAAATTAGAGCTGCATACATTTCCCTTTCCCCCACCTTCAAAGTAAGGCCCCAAATATATAGTCCCCATTAAAATATTAAAATAATAATACAAAACTATTTTCATTTCACTCTCTTATCACACATTATTACTTTTCAATACAAACGAAAAAATTTCACAAACAACGAAACCCCTTTCCCCCACCCCCAAAATTAGGCCCCAAGCATATAGACCTTCTCCCTCTTGCATTAAAATATTAAATAATACAAAATATATACATATATATATATATAATTGAAAAAAAGAAAGAACAAACAAAAATTGACGTAAATTATTCCATTATTGTTCTTTGGCTGTTACCCCAACGGTGGATAAATGCAGAGCCTGCAACAAAGGATGGACGATTGGAAACAACGTGTCAGGATCCTGATGAATCAAATACTTACCGTGGATCAGTACTATGTTGCCAACGACGAGTATAAATTCACCGGGCAGGCCTCCTATGCTGATATAGCTGCTGGTCGTACAAGTCCAACTATAAGAGGGTGTAGTCCGTACAGAAATCAACGTGATGAACCTCCTCCTACCTGTTCCCTACCAATTCAGGTATTACCATACAATACAACAACAACTTCTGAACAAAAGAAATCAATTGAAGTAGAAAATATTGATGATGATGATCATGATGATAATAATGATGATAATACTATTCAATCAAAACGTGTACAGATACAAATGCAAACTGAAGAAATGAACAACGATAATGAACAAATAATACAAAAAGAACAGACACCTGTTATAGTTGATGAAGAAACTATTGTAACAGATAATCCAATAAATAATCTTCCAGTGATAACTGTAGTTGAATCAACATCACGTAGAGGACGTTCACCGGTAAGAAAATCAATTAGATCTAATGTACAAACTAATGTTAAGAATACTACACGTGGAACGGATAAACAAGTGTTAATATCTGAGAAGAATACTTTGATACCGTGTGATGATAAAAGGGGTCGATCTACCAGTCCCATTTGGGTACCTGGTTCTACTTCATATGCTGATATACTTCGTGGTGGAACTCATGCAACATCTAAGTCTTCAGATTCCACTGATAACGATTCTAATCAATTGATCAAAGAAACTACAACTACTGACAATGATAATTTAATGAATCCTATTTTATCAGAACCTCAAACAACAGATGAAATTCA